TCAGGCCCCAGCACGCCAACCGTCCTAAAAATCTTTTAAATTTGTCAGCCAGCAGAGGGAGTGATGGTCGCTGACAAAATTAAAAGGATGACCATACATTTATGGGCGGAATTTCATGATGGCCCACACTAGCGCAAGGCACTCTCTTCTCGTGGTGGAATAATTTTCTTCCGCACGTGAAAGAGTTCTGCTCGCGTAAGCAATTACTCGTTCAGCGCCATCCTGCCACTGCACGAGTACAGCTCCTAAGCCGAAATTGTTAGTGTCGGTGTGCACTGTTGTCGGGGCGTCATCATCAAAACGATAGTTATAGCGCGAGCACAAAACGACGACTCAGAGACAAGAAGGACACGAAAGATACTTCTAAGTCATCATCAAAGTGGGCGAGGACTGGTGGCTTCTGAAGGTGTTGCCGCAGCTCGTCGAATGATTTTTGCTGTTCTTCATACCATACGAATGCGACGTGTTCTCTGGTAAGGCGGGTCAACGGCGAGGCAATACCTTGAGGCATCTCGGGGTCAGCCCACCCGAATAGGCGGGTTATGTACCCGCAAACATGGCGATTCTCTCGTTCGATTTTTGTAAGCATGCCTCGATGAGATGCAGAGCAGAATCAAGGCGGTGGTATTTGCGAATGTGCCGAGAATTTGCTGCCGAAATTCATCCCACGAAGACAGGGTTGACTTGTGCTTCTCGTACGACGTACGAGCGCTGTCTGCCAAAGCAAAGTAGACGCGTGATAGCTTTTGTTCAGTGGGCCAGCGGTTGGCCTTGGCGACTCCCTCATACTGGGCCAACCGGTCCTCAACGTCTTCATAGACCTCACCATGAAAGTTCTCGGGAATTTGAGGCTGATCAACAGTAAGCTGTGAAGGCCCTCCAGTAGCCATTTCTCCCGGTACGGTGGGTCGCTGGAGAGGTTAGAGGGGGATTGCCTCGGAGCTAAGGCCTCGCTGTCGGCGACTGTAGCAGTGGACAGGAGTATCCACTGCAGGAATGGGTTGCGGTGGCGGACTTGAAGTGCCAGGGCGTGGAGGGGTCCCAAGCATCAGTTGGAGAAGTCCAGCACTTCCACCAATGTCGTGACGTGAAAATAACAGGATACAGGATGATGGTGCGACCAGGAATAACAAGGTGTGATGAGTGAAGAAAACGATGACAACGACGGAAGTGCGGGGCAAGGCGCGTGTGATTTCGAGCCAACTGTGCGCGTGAGGTCAGCCAATCAGCTGATGACCTGTGGTGGCCCATAGAGGTGGCGTGCCACGATTGGGCCACGTGTGACCATTACGTGGCGGTAAGCTTTGTGGCTGGGGACGAGCCGAAGCAGCGGCAGACGGGAGACAGCGGGCCGAAGCGTCGGACGCAGGCGATCCAGGTTCCGACCAGGGAACGCCGCTGTCCACGCTACTGCCGTCCAACTACCAGCTGGGGTGACATTGCCGGCACGAGTACTGCATCTCGGGGCGCGGCCGGGCCTGCTGTTCTCTTCCTTGCCGAGGGCATTGCGGATCTCGGCGAGCCGTCTCCACGGTCAGTCATTCGGCACAGCGACGTACGTGGCCTGGCTAATGGTCACGGTTGCGCCGAGCATCGCGTCTCGACACAAGCTGTTCGCTGGACGGGCTGGCCCATTACACGCATGGAGCATCGCGTCTCCGATGCGGGTTGACTGCTCCGTAGTCGCACCCATGCCATCAAGCACCGGCGTCGCCAGGGCGTCGCACATCGATAATAGTCTCACCTTGTTCGTGTGCCGTGGCTGAGATACGGACCCGGAAAAAGAAGGGAAGAAGAAGGAACGTGCGGAAAAGAGAGCTCGATTGTTGAGGCCACGAAGGCAGAGAAAGTGGTGCGCCGCTCGAGAGGACGAGTTCCTGGCAGCGTTCCTGAGCCGGAGTGGGAGCCGTACGTGTCGGCCAGGTAGAGCTCCGGTGTGTCTGTTCGAGGTCGAGTCCGTCGGCCTGTACAAGGTCCAAGGACGGGGCCTGCTGAACGGCTCCTGCCTGGGTGCAGTGGCCGGGAACAGGTTCGTGGGCGAGGCCTACCGGGTGTTGTCCTTCTGAGCCGTGGCCTGATCCTGGACCTCAGGAGTTGCGACCCTGACTGCTGGGTTAGCCGCGACATCCGACTTAACGGCGCTGCACACGATAGCGCATCCATGTGCCGTCAGCCGTTCCAGCCGTGCCACCTTTGCCCTCGCGCACGTCGACGACCGCATCATGTCGGGACGACGGGGACCCAAACTGTGAGACAGCGATTTCTTCTTACGAACCAAGAACTATACGCGCTGGACACTGAGTTAGCGTACCCGCAAACTCTGCGCAGATTAATGCCGGTCTGACTCTCGTGCATGTTGCGTGATGCTTGGCGTATAGGGTTGGATATATAGTTTTATTTTCTCCTGTCACTTCCTTCTCTAGTGTACAATATGAAGCTTCTTTCGTTCGCTTAAATTGTTCATGTTAATCCTTTCTCGTCAGCTATAAACAAACATAGTGACGAACGTCCTTAACCATCACAATATCTGATGTCCGCGGCAGCATTAAGCTCTCGCGTTACATCTGAGAGCCTCACGTTGTTTGTGTGTGGCAGACGAGAATAAACGACAAGAGAAAGCTAGTTGAGCTAGGGAAGGAGATGGGGCTGAGTGGAGAGGCTTTGCTGGCATGGGTGAGCGCTGAGGAAAAAGAAATGAGGGATAGAAAGCGCTGCTTAGTTTCATGCTACGCTTCCAGAGGTATATCAAGTAAGCTGGACTTGATAAACTCAGCCTCTGTGAAGACTGAGTGAAGGCAGCCTATGCTAGAAGACTGAGTTGCTGTTGTTTAAGAACTCATGAGTGTATACCAGGAAGTTCTGGACTGTTTAGTACATAAGAGAATGAAATCTTGTGCAGTGATTGGTTTTTGTTGCCCGTATGCATGTTTAATTTAAAAAGTTATCATTCTTCTGGACTGTATCATTGTGAAGACAGATCGGCGTTTCCATTAGTGTCATCTCCGGATATTGTTGGAAGTTTCATGTTTTTCTGTCCCTCAACTCTTTGCTGTGTGAGAAAAGTTGTTTTGTGGAAACAACTTTCTTGTGTGGGTGGTTATTGTGATGAGTGAAGAAAATGATGACCACGACGGAAGTGCTGGGCAAGACGCGTGTGATTTCGAGCCAACTGTGCGCGTGAGGTCAGCCAATCAGCTGATGACCTGTGGTGGCCCATATAGGTGGCGTGCCACGATTGGGCCACGTGTGACCATTACGTGGCGGTAAGCTTTGTGGCTGGAGACGAGCCGAAGCAGCGGCAGACGGGAGACAGCGGGCCGAAGCGTCGGACGCAGGCGATCAAGGTTCCGGCCAGGGAACGCCGCTGTCCACACTACTGCCGTCCAACTACCAGCTGGGGTGACATTGCCGGCACGAGTACTGCATCACGGGGCGCGGCCGGGCCTGCTGTTCTCTTCCTTGCCGAGGGCATTGCGGATCTCGGCGAGCCGTCTCCACGGTCAGTCATTCGGCACAGTGACGTACGTGGCCTGGCTAATGGTCACGGTTGCGCCGAGCATCGCGTCTCGACACAAGCTGTTCGCTGGACGGGCTGGCCCATTACACGCATGGAGCATCGCGTCTCCGATGCGGGTTGACTGCTCCGTAGTCGCACCCATGCCATCAAGCACCGGCGTCACCAGGGCGTCGCACATCGACAAGAGCCTCACCTTGTTTGTGTGCCGTGGCTGAGATACGGACCCGAAAAAAGAAGGGAAGAAGAAGGAACGTGCGGAAAAGAGAGCTCGAAGGTTGAGGCCACGAAGGCAGAGGAAGCGGTGCGCCGCCCGAGAGGACGAGTTCCTGGCAGCGTTCCTGAGCCGGACGTGGGACCCGTACGTGTCGGCCAGGTCGAGCTCCGGTGTGTCTGTTCGAGGTCAAGTCCGTCGGCCTATACAAGGTCCAAGGACGGGGCCTGCTGAACGGCTCCTGCCTGGGTGCAGTGGCCGGGAGCAGGTTCGTGGGCGAGGCCTACCGGGTGTGGTCCTCGTGAGCCGTGGCCTGATCCTGGACCTCAGGAGTTGCGACCCTGACTGCTGGGTTAGCCGCGACGTCTGACTCAACGGCGCTGCACACGGTAGCGCATCCGTGTGCCGTCAGCCGTTCCAGCCGTGCCACCTTTGCCCTCGCGCACGTTGACGACCGCATCATGTCGGGACGACCGGGACCCAAACTGTGAGACAGCAGTTTCTTCTTACAAACCGAGAACTATACACGCTGGACACTGAGTTAGCATAGCCGCGAACTCTGCGCAGATTAATGGCGGTCTGACTCTCGTGCATGTTGCGTGATGCTTGGCGTATAGGGTTGGATATATAGTTTTATTTTCTCCTGTCACTTCCTTCTCTAGTGTACAATATAAAGCTTCTTTTGTTCGCTTAAATTGTTCATGTTAATCCTTTCTCGTCCGCTATAAACAAACATAGTGACGAACGTCCTTAACCATCACACAAGGTCTTTATTAACAGAACAAAAGAGCAGCCGCTTCGACGTCGTCTTCCTCGGAGCCACCGTGGGTACTGTCCACGCTCATCACTTCGTCGTCCTCTGTCTTCTTGCCCAGTCACCCCACCGCGATGGTCTAGTGGCTAAGGTACTCGGCTGCTGACCCGCAAATCGTGGGTTCGAATCCCAGCTGCGGCGGTTGCATTTTTGATGGAGGCGGAAATGTTGTAGGCCCGTGCTCAGATTTGGATGCACGTTAAAGAACACCAGGTGGTTTAAATTTCCGGAGCTCTCCACTACGGCATCTCTCATAAGCATATGGTGGTTTTGGGACGTTAAATCCCACATGTCTATCAATCAATTCTTGCCCGGTCTTTAGCCGTGACAATATCACATCTTTCTATTGTATGGCTCATACATGGGCTCCAGGACGTTCAATTTACGAGATGGCAGGCGTTGGAAATGTTCACCCTAAGATTACGCACGCGCTTTCACCACTTTCTCGTACATTTCAGGTAATCCTGGAGAGGATGAATTTGGGAACATCTGAGCCCATGGCCAGCGAGACAGTAGTCGTTACGGGCACGCCTGGTACACATGTCGGGTTGTTGGGCGTAGACCAGGCCCTGTACCTGCTGAGAAAGAAGGATCTTCTAACAAGGGACACGGTAATGAATATCTTCAAAGCGCCTTCATCTGTTCCGATGAAAAGTGCTTAGCAGTCCAGTCATTACTCGTAATAAGGGCACAGTCATTTTTGAAGGATGCGAAACAAAATAGCCAAGACACGTGGACGAAACGTAGAAGAGCTTCATCGATTTGCGCCAAATAAGAGCGTCATTATTTTTCCACGACAGAGGACGGCGCATTGAAAGATAAAAAATCCAGTAAAAAATGCCACATTGTATAGGCGTGATGACGAAGCCAGTTGTGAAAATATAATAAATAGTGAAGGCAGAAACAAAAAATATATATCTACGATAATTCAGCATACAGTTCTCTACACTTCTATGGGAAATAAGGATGCCTGAGAGCGTGGCATTCTAGGAGGAAAAGTGTCGATGCCAAATGTACTATACTTGGATCTTCAAAAAATTGTTGCAGCTACGGTGGCCCGAAAGCAGGTAGTGTATGAAAGCAGGTAAAAAAATATTTTAAAAAATTCCGTAAGATTTGAAGGTTTCTTAACAAGAAACATGGATCTTAAGCACTGATTATAAGTGCTCAATATATAGATATAGGAACATGCAATAGCGGCATCCTTCAGCACTTGAGAAGTCAGCGAAAAAGTCATTCTATAGGTTCAAATCCACTGCAGCAAATAGGCCGCTTAAATCGATTCTTTGACTTTTATGGGTGGATTTAAAATTTTCAGTTTGATATTACTTTATACGTGATTGCATTTGATTTTTTTCAAGTACTGCGCGATTAAATAGGAAACCAGTGGAGTGCTTAACCAAATACATTTACATAAACTTGCAGTAAACTGCAACATTTTTCTGACGATCGAGGTAAAATTCTCAAGCTTTTTGTCCGTGAGGGTTGTTCGGGACTGGTGGAGCACTCTAGATAATAGGATGTTTGCTCTTGTTATTGAGTTACATGTGTTATTGTGAAATATTGTAGAATAATAATTGTGTTATAAATATGGGCCCTGTACTGTTCTGCAACTTCATTTGCAAAAACTGTCTTGTATTGCGTACTAGATGTTCTGTGCTCCTAAAAACCATTCATGAATTGGCGGTTACATGAAATACGCAAAAAACATAAATCCTCATTAACATTATAAACTGTAGCATGCTGTTGCATTCATCGTAAGGTGAAATCTTAGCTCTGCACGCGCAGGTTGGTATGCAGCGAATGAATAGCTGCCATAGACCTGGTCGTATTAGCGGCATCATTATACATGAGGACTGTTGCTGCGCACAGAGTCCAAATTCAATTTTAGGCTTTTAAAAAGCTGGTATTTGAGGCAAAATTCATATTTTACTGGAACTGTGGACCAATTTTGATCAGATAAGGCCATCACTACGCTTTTAATGATCCGTCTTTTCATAAAAATGGAGGCCGAATTCCAAAGCGCATGTTTTCGTATTCGTGTTTCCTCTTTTTTGAATGCGAAGCATTTCTTAGCTAACTTGGGCGACTTTGAGCGTATCTATCTATCTATCTATCTATCTATCTATCTATCTATCTATCTATCTATCTATCTATCTATCTAGCCGCTTATGTTTGGGTGCTCTCGTGGTCACCCCTTTAACTTGGCGTGAACCAAAATTAGCATGGGAGTGTAAGATGGTTTGACGAATATAACACGCTGGTCATGATATGAATAATGTCGCGATCCCGTCGCGTACGTCGTCAAACACTTCCCGCCAGACAGTGGCACATACCCATGGGCGGGTATGTGCCAATGATATACAAGTATGTGCCACAGTTGATTTACACTTAGTATCTACCCAGGAAAGAAGAGAACACACATGGCCAATTTTAACGCGCGAGCGTCAAGAAATACCCGACATCGGTAGCGTCGACCCGACGAATGCAAATAATAAATGTCAGGGTCCCAGATGGAGTCAAACGCAAACATTCTGCGTGGCAATAAAACATTATACCTCAGAGCTACGCCTGGTCTTGGAACTACTTTTAAAATATACGCTAATCTTCATGAAACGTAAATAGTGGTTGCAGTGCTGCCTACAAAATTTTATAAACATTAGATACGTACTCCTCTGATGCAGCCGTCATGACAGGTTAACGTCAATTGTGGTTAGTTGCCATGTGCTAAAGTTTATTTATGAAGCGGTGTCCAGGGTCAGCATTCTTGCGAGCATCAATGCTCCATATCAGCTTCTGGCGTTGCTAATACGCATGTTCCAGTTGGCATCGTTGCGCAAGTGCAAACAACAGGTTATATAAACATCTGCAACTTTTCGGCATATGTCTGTGTGTGCAACATTTGTACATACCTTTAGCGTCATTTCATGGCGTGTCACTCAATAAAATAATTGCAACACGGTTACCTTCTCTCCACATACTTCGCATAGTTTAATTCCCAGGTACGTGCGATCTGCCTTTTTTTTTTGCCCTAGTGCTAGGTCACCTTCGCTATTTATATGCACAGCTTCAGGATTAGTTCTGATTGTTTCCTTATTAGCGATTATGCTGTGAAAGCTTTTTCTGGACACTGGCTGATGCTCCATGAAACATGCGTGTCGTCATCACTTCTTCAACTGAAGCCGTTTAAAGGAGGCAGTTCAAAGTATTTATCTTTGTCAAATTCAAAAATGTGGAATTACAGCACAGGTGCAAATTTTTTTGCATCGCGCGTCCCTTACTGGATTAATATTAATGTTTTCCTATCATAAAATGCTGCACTATTTACCAGTCATCCTAACATACGCAATTCTTCTTGAGCACCGAAACTCTGTTTTCAGAAAGCATTTCATTCTCAAATGCCTTTCGGGAAAAAAAACAGGTCGGACCCAATCGCAACATTTCTTTTACAGTGGAGCAGCAAATAGCACACCTTGATTTTAGGCTGCCTGTCCTACGAAAAAAAAAAAAACTCCAGCTCCACCTAGGTAGCAGGGATGTAATTCGAAGCATCTTAGTTGAAATCCTGGTGCCGTCTGTTGAGTGTAAGAAAACACCAATCCAGTAGAAAAAAACGTCCACGAAATGAAGAGACTGAGTGTCGTTCACGGGGTTAGATTTCAACCATTTATTGCGAACGACAACCATTGTTGCAAATGACAATGTTTTGTTACTTTTTCACATAAATAGACAAATCTGAAAAACTTTTCGAACCTGAAAACGGTTGCTCATTCAACGGCTGCGAATACTGATGTTACATCTAGTAACACAAAGGGGTTGGACACGAGCCTATTCTCTTTTGTTTATTTCCATCTTTACATCTTGCAAGAGCATTGTATAGCTATCGGGCTAAAAAGATATAATCCAGGTCGAGCTCTCTGCTTTTCATGCCATCAAGCTTTTTTTCTCTCTCAGCACTAAATTAACAACATCAACATTTTCAAGCTTGCTCTGCTCTTCATATGTAAAATAAATGGTACAGTTTGGCAGCTCTACTGCTCCCAAATTGTGAGCAGGTGAACCTAGCAGGGGAACCGAGCAGGTGAACCGAGCCGACAGAACTGTACAATTTCTGTATGATGACGTGATACTAACATCTCAATGTGCACCACGTGTGCTGCAGCTGTTCCAGTCTCTAGATTCCAAGGACCTTGGTTGCGGCGCGGGTGGAGGTGTGGACGCGGCGGAAGCGCTTTCCAGTGCCGGCGTCGTGCTGCTCACTGAAAAATACGTGAGCAACACTTTAAGAAGCGGTGAGACATCTGTTATGGGTTTCAAGTCTCGGGTGCTAAAACTGCAAAGGGCTGAAATTCGGTCTGACCGATCTTTCTAACTCAGTTCAGCACTGCTGTGCTTCACTTTTGGTTCTAAACTCATTCTTGTAGCTCTTTTTTTCGAATGCGAAGCAGATTGGGGTCGAACTTTATCCGGTGTACGGCGTAACCACTCTTATTACGCATGTGCGTCCACTCCCCCTGTTTCACCTCCCAGCGCCGATGCAGGGAGCGTCTGATAGCCTACGCTTGCTTCTCCTTCTCTCTCTTCTAGGCATTCCTACCCGCGGCGTCTAACCTCCATTGCGCATGTGCACCCTCTCCCCTCTTTCTCCTGTCCTACACTTCCACCCTTCCTCGCCTCGCAACGCCGACAGTGACTGCAAGCGAGTTTCTCTATTGAAAAAGCCCTCTGCTCACGCTGCACAACTGTTTATTTATCACCCCATTTATATAGGCACTGGATCTCAATCTCCAAAGTAGTGCTGGTGGGATATTGCTCCTGTGCGTTGTTGCATAATAAAAATTCGCAGCGTGTGCGTTAACGAAAAACTGAAAAGCAGATTACGGTTCCATGTGTCTAATTGGAGTCTTCTGCCTCTCATTGTCCATTAGCAGCGATTGGCATGTTCCAGTAGAAAACACCGGTACATCGCTGTGTGCTTTGCGCATCCCTCGGTTTCTTTTCTGCGAACGCTGCGACGAGCGCTCACGTCAACGTCACCGCCAGTGTAAGAGTTAGAGCTCGCCCCTTCGGTCCTACGTATTGTTCTCTTTAGCGGGAGATGCTGTAGCTTTACTTTGTGTGCGCTGTACATTATTTCCCTTGCTGGTGGTGCATGTCATGTTTTTGTACTATCTGCGTCAAATAAAACTTGAACAGCATATGTGCATGCCTGTCCATGGCGATAAGTTGACGACGCGTACTGTACCATCGCGAAGGCTTGCCGCTGTTAGGGTTTCATTTGATGCAGATAGCAGCTCCATTCGTGTTTATGTGTGTTTGCGTGTATGTAGGTGTGCGTACGTGCGTGGGTGAATAATTCCCGAGTCATGATAATACGTCAATATTGAACGTTTCTCATTATTTCAGGTATTTCCTGCCATGAACACCGAAGAAAGAAGCGAGAAGTAGCGAACAACATTTGTAAGCTGACGAAATCTTCTTCTAGATTCCTCACAGTTCAACTTCTTATAACACCTTCACAAATAAGACACACATAGTACATCACAATTTCTCTTAGGTTAAGTAGATCGTCAGATAACTTGCGTTCTGGGTTGCATCATGGGATGCTGTCGTTAGAAGTTTTAAAGAATAGCAATTATTCGGTAGATGACTTCACTATATCGGATCTCAGAGAGGCAAGCTAACAGTTAAGCATCCATTTTTTTGGTTGCTATAAATATGAATTTTACAGTAGGTCGTATCACTACAAACGAACGTAATTAGGTGCACGTGCAGCGAGCCATGCTATTACAGCAGCCAGCCGCTATGGTGTTTGTACGCAGAACGATTTGTCTTGCTTACCCGCGTGATTCTATTCTCGTTATGCAAGCAGGTTTAAACGGTAAATTGCGTCAATTGTCAAATTTTCTTTTCTAACTTCTCACAATTTGCTTTTAGCTTTTAATTTAGCATAATCTACAAAACCGATAATGTTATGCCGTGTCTTCCAGTACTCATCTTTGCATTTTACGTTTTTTATCATCGACGTAAATCACTTAAAACCATTTAAAATTTGAGATACTTCTGTAAAGCAAATCTCATGCCATTTTCGACGTAACTGGAAACCTGGAAAGCCACCTATAGTCGGATGCAACTATAGAACTATGCAGAATTTCCTCCGCAAAGGCGGATGCATACAAATCTCTACCAATAAGCATGCACTCCGGATTGACGTCATCATGCGGGCGGCGAATAATCCGTCCGTCGGAGGACATTGCCCGCTGCTTGAGCGGGACTGTTTCTTTAGTAGCGGAGGTGATCGGCTGCCACTTCGGTTGTCTGGGCAAGACCTCTCCGGGCTTCATAACTTCTATCCTATATTATACGTCTGCACAATTAATTCGTCTTAGTTCGTACTCATCGTAACTCATGGCGAATGAATATTAGCGCTCCTAAAATTGTTGTGGTGTTATTTACATAGAGGACTACCCCTTCGGTTTCCTATTGTTTCTGCACTTAACACTTTATCTTGAAACTCTTTCGAATATATATTTCACTCTTTCTATATTTATATTTTATATAATTATATGAATTATATTTCACTCTTTCGAAGTTTGTCGTTTGATTCTGTAATAGGCCATCCTTGGCTAACGTATGTTTAAGTACGTAAGTAAATTTGGCAGAGAAATGCCACCATTGGTTAGTAACTGTGAAGCTCCTCGGAATAAATCGTGATCTTTACGTCACGAAATTGCAAATTTTCACGCAATGTATGCTGCAGTCGGAGGAACCAGAACATTTTCTCTATCGCGTGGTAGTATTTACTGTGTACACCCATAGCACTTTGTCCCACCGTTTTCGCATTCCTTCTCCAGATGTCAATGCGGCAGAACTATCAGGACGATGCTAAGCTGCGCAACGCCATGAACGCTGAGCCATCCGTAAGGAATCAAAATTAGAATCAGAAATGTTTTTATTTTCGAACGAAATTGTTTAGGGCCCTTCAGGCGTCGGATACTGTTGTTACAAACACTCAAATCATAGGAGGATATTCAGGTTATACAAAGGTAACTAAAGTACTAAGATGACTCAGGTGTCGCACCCGTGGCCTAAAAAGTACAGAAGCGCTACATACCGCTTTGTAGAGTGACATTTTAAGGTACAGCACCTTAAAATGTAATTCACCTGCTGGATAAGTGATTCGGTGAGAATGTTGCATGTGCATCATAATTTCTGCGAACTTCTCAAATACGAAGTGACATATGCGGGCACATTCTTCAGAATGCCAGGGCACCGTTCCTTTCATCATTCAAAAATGATAGATCACCCACTTTCTTGAGCTAGGCGAACGTACTTCAAGTGTAAAGTCTGGAAGACGTTCTAAAACGTTTCTACGCTTGTCTTACCCCACCTATCAAGCAATAAAAGTGGTTCACTACCTGTGGTATCATCGTTAACGAAAGTAACGGTGATGCGACGTCTTTGATGTTTCCTCAGATTTTTACAACACCAGATAAAGTGTGTTTTTACAGATCATATTATCAACGAGCGTAACAAGCCTAACTGCATATAAGTTAAGTAGGATGGCATGGCTCCAGTAATGAACTGCAATGTGGCCTACGATGCGCACTATACTTTGGTGCCTTGGAATCAGTTTTCAATATAAATGCCAGGCAGGCTTAAAGCAAGCGTGTGGCAACCGTCTATCGCAGTGGAAGAGTATGAGGACGAGACCCTGCGCATGTGCTGCTTTCGGGGCCAAAGAAAGGACAAGTTACTGCGTTCTTGCGACGACAGAGTGGACATCCTGAAGAAGTACATGGAACTAGGAAACCCGAATATCAAGCAGGACTGCGTTGACGCTTTCAAGAGGTGCTGCCAGCTCGCAGACGGTATGAAATAAACAACCATTATTTCAAGGTCATAAATTTTCCTGATTCTGTTTTAGATGTGAAGCAGCTTGTGTAACTAGCCTGTGTAACGCTGTCCCTTCATCCGCACCAATCCCCTCGCCGCAGGTGTTGGAGCGCTGCCAAATAGCTCACGTCCTCCTAGCAGTGCACCGTGACGTATCTCTCCCTCGCCTGCCACGCGCTCTCCGCGTGTCAGCTCTCTCTCTCTCGCTTCACTCTCTCCACCGCTCGCAATACTCAAGCCCACTCCTCACGTGGGCATCATCTCACCCACGCCACCTCTCTCCATCTCTCGGCGAGAATAACCCGTGAGTCGGCGGGTGCACGCGCTGCACGCGCCTCAAGGATGTCGCGGCGCCTACGGTGTGAAGAGCGCGCCGCTGCGTGCCGCATGATCACTCCGACGGGCGGGACGCCGTCACGGCATGCTTTCCGCTAGTGTGTGTATACTTTTCCCGGCTGTCACCGGCATTACGAGGGTTAGCGAAGCCAATCACGTTTGAAAATGGCGACGTCAACACCGATGAGGCATGGGCCAGGGAAGCCGAACGCAAGCGTCGGCAGTGGGAGTCCAGCGACACCGACGAGGTGCGAGTAAATAACACCGATCGCGGTCGAAAATACAGACGGCGTGCGGGTAACATCGATGAGACGCGAGCCAAGGAAGTAAGCGCAAATGTGTTCAGCGTGTCCCGCCTCCCGTGTCTGTGTTTCGCCCCGCCGCGGTGGTCTAGTGGCTAGGGTACTCGGCTGCTGACCCACAAGTCGCGAAATGGAATCCATGCTGCGGCGGCTTCATTTTCGATGGAGGCGAAAACGCTGAGGCCCGCGTACTCAGATTCGGGTGCACGTTAAAGTAGCCCAGGTGGTCGAAATTTCCGGAGCCCTTCACTACAGCGTCTCTCATAATGATATGGTGGTTTTGAGACGTTAAATTTCATATATGAATCGATCGGCCTTTGAAACAAACGTTCACTCGAGCAAACGCTACACCGAGTTTCGCTTCAAACCGTTCTTCTAGCACCCTCGTCGACGCCCGTTTCAAGCGGATCAATGCCGTGCGCACCACTGCTGCTTCGCATCTCTTCAGGGTTTCCTTCCGGGAGATGATCCATAGTTTTATTGCTGGTGAAATAGTTGTTATGAACGTATAATAAGAGTCGTTAAACAGGTAATGTCACTGGAACGAATGTTTGTATACAAGTAAACTTATCTTCGGAAGGACACTGTCAAGACAGACACCAAAACAACTCCTTTTGTCGTGATGTAGGCTCCAGGAACATTCCCCGTTCAACAATTTCTAATCCTTTTTATGCCGTTTCTACCTTCCAGTAAACTTTTATCTCGTTTGAAACCTATACTAGGGCATACGCAGCTTTTGTAAGCGCCTGGTTCTGCACTGTATTAAGGATAAGGTCTTCTTGCTGCTTCGGCACTTATGATTAAAGGCTGCATGCGTAACTGCAAGCCTCTTCCATTAAGTCTATTGATAGTATGCTGCATGTTATAGGTGCTACACTAGGGGTCATTTCCGGAATAAAGTTTCTGGTTTTCAATGCTCCTCTAAAGGTTCAAGCTCCGTTACGGCGAGTTTAATCATTTATGTTTTGTACACATGTTTCTTCGTCGTATTTGTCATAGAATTAGTACAGACTGCGTCCTGTGGTGAGCTTTTCTTCTAGGACGTGCACTAACTCCATGATATTTGCTCGAACGTAGTGGGACAGACAACACTGCAACTTCACTTCATTTTTCTGAAAAACACTGAAGAGCACCGTTCGCCTTTGTCAATAACCATTTCTATATTTACGTCAAAGTGACAAATAAATGTTCTGCACAAGATTTCCCACAATACTGGGTGCGTGGCCAGTGAAGGCAGCCATAGAATTACGCAAACGGAAGACAGGTGCTTGTAAATCTGTAACGCGACTCGTTTTCAGCAATATACCAAACTACCGATCAAAGGCTTTACAGCGTCATTTATACCATCACAATTTCAGTTATACCATATAGAACAAAATAAAGGCAATAAATTGCAATATGTACATTGTTAGCTACTATTTCAGACGTTTTTGCTTTTTTATATAGCAAACTACCGATCCATAGCTTTACGGCGTCATTCATACCATGACAGTTTCAGTTTTACCATACACAACAGAATAAAGAAAGCAAATTGAAATAAGTGTAGTGTTAGCTACCAATTCAAAAATGTTTTCCTTTTATGAACTCCTTCATGTATCCCTTGTCAGCTCAAATTTCTTTAATAACGTCCGACGTTTGTGTAATATTGATTACACGAAAGAGGAAGAAACAACAAAATTAGACGGTTCATGGAGTAACTGTGTTCGATTTTATTAGAACGAACAGACAGACGCTGTGGAGCAGGCCATATAAAGTGAGTAGAATTATACATACCTGAACGCCACGACGAAGAATGACAACAGCGGAGTGATTACTAATAACAATATATGGGATTCTACGTGCCAAAAGCAGGATATGATTAGGAGGCACACCGTAATGGAAAGCTATGGAAATTTCAACCATCTGTATTTTTTATCGTGCACTGACATCGCACAGTACACATACCTATAGTATTTCGCCTCCATCGAAGGGTGACCATCATGGTCGGGATGAAACCCGCAATCTTCATGCTGTGCGACACCGAAATTAGCCCACCGCTTCAATTATTCTTTGTGTCACCGAGCTATTTGTTTTATTGCGTCCCTGAAATGTCTACTGCACAATTTCATTGACAATTGTTCTCATGTTGGGCCCAATTGATAAGCCGTCATGAACTATTTATCCTGGTTGTCGAAGCTATTCTACACTAAGCGGCAGCGCAATTTTGAAAGCGCTGACCCACGGTGCTACTGTAGCCTTTTGGATTATTTTGAATACTGAGCCCTACCGAAATGCTCGTGCGCGCGCCATGATGTGTTGCCAAGTTTCTCAACAAGCTTGGGAACAAAATTTTGTAAATTAGTACTCAGTGTTTTTTAACATAGTTCGCACCTTCGGTTGCTGCTCTGTTCATTGAAAAAAAAATCACATTTCCAGATTCTACTGAGGGAAGATTCGGTGGTGCTGATACAGAGCTGACAGACGAGCTTTCAGGGGGCGACACACAGATCCGCGTAGATTTTCGTGAGACTTGGCTGTACAACAATGTTGTTATTAGGTGAGTGACCATAGACAACAGATGATAAGTATACGTCAACAGTTGTACCTAGAAAGAAAACAATTCCTTGCATTAATGCTGCGTTGATCCAGTGTGAATTAATGTTTGGTGAAAAAGAGAGGGACGGTTGATTGCATGATAATGAAAAAAAAACACTCTCGAGAAGCAATGATTCGAGGAACCTTTAATTGGCTACCGTGCTTCACTCGAATAAGGAGAGAAAAAGAATAATATATGGGGCTTCCCGTCCCTAAACCACAATATGATAGACGTCTAAGTGGAGGGCTCCGGAAAGTTGGACCATCTGGCATTATTTAACGTGTAGTGAGATCCCACAGTACACGGCCCTCTATACGTATACATCTTTTCGCCTCCATGCAAATGCGACCGCCGAAATTGGGATTGAACCTGCGGCCTTCGGGTCAGCAGGCGACCACTCTATCTTTTGATCCACTGAGGTGGACGGCAAGAAGAATGAGAAAAGCTGAGATATAAAAGGGATCAAAGTCAGCGAGAATGTCCAATGGGAAGAATGAAGCCATTGGTCCATGCAGTGCCGACTGATCCGTGGGATGCCGGTCACTTTCCCGGTTTCGGAGAACCAAGATAATGACCTAGTTTCTAGGCAGGTAACCCATACGTCTCGTGTCGGTATACGAGGTATACTCGCAGTGCATACTTCCGGCGTCTACAACTAGGTGGAACGAGGGGCAATCTCGTAGCGAATGACAAAGGCACCCCTAAATTTTACTACGGAGGCACGCGAGTTCTAAATGTAGTGATCTACAATTAGGTAGTCAATCTTTACTAATTTCAAAATTGTCGTTAACATCATAGCCTCTTTTTGCCTCCTGCCTAAAATGCATTCTCCAAAAACTTCGTGATGTCGAATATGCTCACTTATCTCAAATAACAGCTAGGAACTGATGCTTCAGCTTGTTGCAAAAACTGTCGCAGGGCCCAGAAGTTCTATAAGTGTCTCGAAACTGTTGAGTATGTAATGCGCTGGTCAAACCAAACAATGTAGGAACAACAAAGCAATTGGACGTGGGAGAGTTTTCCTTTTGGTTGCCTAATTCCCTTTCAGTGTACGTGATTGGAAAACCTCCCCATTGTCTGTGGTGTGACGCAGGGATGACGGTAGGGCTGAACTGAGCGCCTCCTTGCCGTCATCGATAACCACGTGGGAGGTGATCGCCGTGAGCATCTCACCCAGTGGGGGCGTCTGCGCGACCAACCCTCTCGAAATTTTAGCAATGAAGAAGTTCTTCATCGAAGTGAACGTACCCTACTCCGTTGTCAAGAACGAGCAAATCGAGATCCCGGCTACTGTCTACAACTACGGCCAAAAGCCGGTGGAGGTAAGAAAGGCTCACTAATATTTTCAATGTTCACAGCGCTTGTGATCTGCTGCGGATCAACTGTTTTCTCAGAAGCACTTTTTAGAAATCAAATGAAACAGTCAAAGTGGGGGTAAATAAATCAGGTTTTTTTTCTATGATTGGCCAGAAATTCCTTCTGATACATAATATTGACCACAGCCCAATGAACGACAAATTTACGGGGCCAGCCATCGAACCTTAGATTGTGCGCTGGCTATGTATATGACTGTGGTATTTCAATGTAGCTCGTGAATCACGTGTTTACTTTCATGTACAATACCTACTCCATTGAATCAATCGTACCGGTCTTAACACAACAGCGTTAAAGAGACCATGCCTGAGACACCATCCGTGAGTGTAAAATCGCTATAGGTGCCACAATAGAAATCATACGCTCAAGCCGAAGTCAAACCTAGGCATGATTCGCGGTGCTTAGGTGCCACAGTGTACACTACTGCGCCGGAACTGTGGTTGAAACTGTTTCGGGAACCGGCGCTTCATCACGTCGTGAAGGGTGAGCATTTTTGTTAACAGGAGTTACAGAAGAATAGCATCACGCCATATGGACTGCGCAACCAGCGGGTGGTTTAAATATCTACTCATTCCCGAGGCGCTCAGCCATGAACAACTTTTATCATACACCACATCATCAATACGGTCGCAGCTACATGGGCACGCGCATCATCAGACGCGTAGAGGTCACTTTGCTACTTCGCAATGTGACGAAGTATAGCGTATTAGGGACATCGTAGATGCGTTTGCAGTAAGCACGCTATGACAATTTACAACGGCCAGTGTTACACGCATAGCCGTTCTTCTCCTGGGGGCACGGTTGAGGTATACCCTCCGCCGAGAAGCGAAGCACGGTAAGTAAATGAGAAGGTGACGCGAGCGGGACCCGAATACGCTGTCGACTTTTACTCTCAAATTTCAAGCCTAAGCGTCCTCAAAATTCTGATACGTCTTTTAATAAAGCTTCTTTATCAGTTATAATAACCTTCATTTTATTGTGATAGCAATTATTTGGACACCCTCGGCTGAATTTTGCCACACGCGTCAGCGTCAATGTCATGCATCGTATATCTATATATAATAAAACGCAAGAAAGAAAAAATTCAGAAAGAAGCACTCCGGTGCGTGGAATCGAACGTGGGACCTCTGCGTCGTGAAACCGAGACGTTAACCACTGAGAAACCCCGGAGAACGTTCGTCACGTTCAAACGGCAAGCTATTTATATCTACCACTTACCGCTGCTGTGTTTTCGATATTACCAGAAAGATGGCGCAATGAGCGCACGTCACTACATCGCGCAGCGGCGCCCACTCTAATCTCCTACGCGTACTTTGCCCGGCTTAGAGAAGGGGAGCGACGCTCCCTCGGGCGCCCTTATTTCACGGTGGCGAGGAGGGAAGGATCGTACGCATTTGCTGGCCTCGGGCTTTACGTGTAACAATTCTGCTGCAGTTATCGGGCGCACAAATGTCACTGCAATCATTGCAGTCTCCGTTCGCGAAAAGCGCGCTTTTCTGACTCAGTGAAGTAACAACTGAGACGCTTGTTCGTGGGCATCTGTACGTTTGAATACGTTCCATGCGTCATTTGTGTGTGAGAAATGCAGGACACGTTTCGATCTTTTTAGATTCTACGCGTGACCTTCCAATTGGTTGGTATCGCGTTCATTGCTTCGCCTTTGCGGCAAGGCTGTGACTTTTTCTCACATTTCTTTCGAAACATCAGATTTCTGTAGTTCAGTTTTTTAATGCTTTTTCATATATTTTAGCTATACCCCATTTTTGCCTCTAAGGTACGTCTCATTGTAAGCGCATTCTACAGTGAGTCACATGCCGATAGTAAAATGTACCAGTAATATTTTTTGTTGTAGTTGTATAGTCCAATGTGAGCCGTAAATTGTCTTTCTCTTTTTTCAAGGCGAAGCTTTCTTAGCGAACTGCGGCGAGTTTGATCGTATCTATCTATCTAGCCACCTAGGGCCTTTAGCTCTCCTGGCCGTTTGAATAATGGGATCTATACCAAAATCAGTATGGCAGAACATGACTATGTGACGAGTTTAAGTGACTAGTCATAACATGAAAATAATGACGTGTATGTCATGAATGCCATGAATTACGTGTCAAGGTCTTGCTGCTCCTGCAGTGGTTTCGTTCACGACACATCGCAAGAGTGGTATGTTATGACATGAGTGCATGGTGAACATAAGTCACACGTCCTTACGTGGAAATCATGACATGCGTGTCATGCAAAAACATGACTACATGACACGCTCATGATGTGATCGCGGTCGTTTCCCTAGCTTCACATACATCAGATTTGGTATTACGTGACGTGAATGAATGATGAAGGTATATGAGTGGTGCGAACATGATAATCATGATATGCGTGTTATGTGAGAACACGACAACATACCATCCTCATGAAGCGCTCACAGTTTTTTCGCTAGCTTCACATACACCAAATTTATATTACGTGACGGGAATAGATGGCGAAGGTATAGAATTGGTCCAAACTTAATAATTATTACATGCGTGTTACGTGAAACATGACTACATGCTACGCTTATAGTGCGCTCACGGCCTTTTCGCTAGCTTCGCATATAACAAATTTGTTGTTACGTGACGTCGCTAGCTTCCCATACACCAAATTTGGTATAACGCGACGAGAAGAGACGACGAGCACAAATACCAGGCGCAAACCTGATAATCATTACATGGAAGTCATGACGAAGGTATATGACTCTTGCGATTATTATAATCATAATATGCGTGTGATGTAGGAACATAGGTACATGCCACGGTCATGACGCGCTCGCGGTCGTTTCGCTGGCTTCACATGCACCAAATTTGGAATTACGTGACGGGAATGGATGACTAAGGTATGTGAATGGTGCAAACAATATAATAAGACATGCGTGTCATGTAAGAACATGACTGCATGCGATACCCCTGATGCGCTCGCGGCCATTTCACTAGCTTCACAAACACCAAATTTGGTATTACGTGGCGTGAAAAAACGACGGGCACAAATTCCAGGCGCAAACATGATAATTATGACATGGAAGTCATGTACGGCACAGTTTACGTCCGCATCGTAACATTGTGCTTATTTTATTGTGACAATCCAACCTTCCTCACTCGTGCTTCGCATATCATTTATTCCCACTCTGCGTGAGATCAATCTTTTTTTTTTTTTTGCTTTTCAATCTTCGCTTGCTATGTGACATAACTATGCAGTCTCAAATGCATTTTTTGTGAGCCCGCCTTTCCTGTATTATTAAGTTGGTTTTCTTAGTTGTATTATCATGAGAAGTTACACTGTAGTCAGTAAAGAAAGGAAGTCATTCCTGTTTATCTTACTGCATAAGTAAGCCTATACGTGATCGCGTTCAGCATTGTCACACCACCAAGTCAACGTAGCAAGATTAGGTAATTTGTGTAAATTAGACCTTCCCGTTTAGAAAGAGACCCACAGCATCTATTTTGTCTCAAAAACAACCAATTAAAATGCAATAACTAAACTCTTTTGTTGACGCCCGCTGCCGTGAGCGTCCTACTTGGGCACTTGGCGCGATCATCGGCAACGACGGCCAGCATGTAAGTACAACAAAGGCCCTTCATAGCAAATGAAAGAAACCAGAGCACTGCGTGCTTCGAAATTGTCGGCAACCGTTTCATCTTGCCCACTATTTATCAACAAGTACAGAAAAACTGGCAACGACATCCTCCAAAAGCCATTATATTGTGTAATCTCTCTGAGACTAAATTTAGAAGCGAGGATGCTCGGGCGTCACTTTCGTCAGACAAAATTGCTGCTTCAAAGCCTGGGAGTATAATGATGTTCTGTTTTACTCATCAGTAATTCAAATGTAACGGCGTGAAGTGCCTATTTTAAATGCCGTAGAAATGGTGTATTTCAACCTACTTAAGTTAGATTCATGCATTATTGAAACTACAACAAATTAGAAAGTCATCATGAAACGATAACTCGAGAGCACAATCTCACACCAGTAATTATGCCTTCAAAATATTTCCTGCGCAGCTATATCACTGTTCAAGGCGACATGTCGATATTAGGCGTATACGAACTAAAACAAGTAGAGGACGTTTTTAGATTAGCCCTGACTTGCTAGCATTTTAATTGTCTATGGGTATAAGTAGAAAACAAAAGGCAGAAAATAGAAGAAAAAGAATCAAATAAAAAGAAAATAAAAAGAAAATGAAAAACGGCGCATGTCAGCATAGGATGTGAACAAGAGTCCTGGGAAATTAAGAAGCTACAGCGTAAGACGGCAGTCAGTGAAAGCAAAATAGTCGAAGGTAATAGACGTGTCCAAGCATGGTACATTGTAAAGATATCTATAAGGTTCAATTACCAACGCGTCATTCTCCGGGAGCGCATCATCGATTTAAGAGTTCTTATTTGTGTTTGATGTTATTTCATTGGCTCAACTAAAACAATCGTCTTATAATACTTTAAAGCGGCCCCATGATGTTCCGAGCAGTGCCTATAAAGTTTGGTATCAATATTGTCACGCGGTCGTGACGTAACTGAAGGCAGGAGACAGGATGGTCAGATCAAGCTGTTTATTTCTGTGAACTTGTGCTCGGTAAACGGAAAGTCGCGTTAAAGTAGCACACTTGCGTCAATTTTATTTCCGGATATATCTTACACAGCTGATGTGCACACATAAAAATGGACAATGGTGAACAATGCGTATGTACAGTGCAAGCTGTTATATACAGTGAAAGAACTTATAGCGTATGCAGTGACGTACAATGCAAACATTGTACAACAAAGACAGGACATTCATGACATCGAGATGATTAAACCCAAATGAACAGTAAGGCTATATGAACAAACAAGGGAAGGTCATTCACAGTGTAGCGTGATGTTTTGCATTCACCTGTGAGGACAATTTGCTCTCGCGCTCAAGAACAATATTGCACAAAAATACATGTTTCTA